TGATGGAGGTTAATATATTCAGTGGAAATCTAAGAACATTATGCATCATTGATTTAATCTGGTGACTCAAACCAACTTATTCATCAATTTGAAATTAAAACCGTTTGCTCTGTGGACTTGGCTTCTCTCCCTTTATTATATAGCTTAATTACTATTCTTGAATTCCTGGTAAATTTAATATTGATGTTATCATTTTACTCAATTTTGGCCATAATAATTGAATACCGGTACCAATTTGATGAGGATTGCTGAAAATGGGGCCACAAGCACATCAATTCTTGAATGTTTTCTAAAAGCTGAAATCAATCAGCTATTGCATCTATGTTCTTTGCTCTCAGTAGACCGAGCTCTTTAGAACCATTGATTCTGTTTTATTTGCATCCAAAGACTTGTCCATGATCAATTAACACATTGGTCTATATGTGGTCTGCAATCAATGGAAACCATTGAATACCTTCACTCACTCAAACCAGTTTCTGTTGAATGCATGCACATCAGTATAACTACAGCAGGATAAAATTTTACCATTCAGTCTCACCAGGTTAAAATCTCATATTTAGTTTTTGTGCGAAAACTACCATGTATGAGTTTATTAAGCCTATACATGTACAAAATACAAAGCCTGCTGGCAATTTTTAAACGAAATTCAATGCATATTGGTTTAACTTTTGTTTATGTCGAAACTAATGTCGGCATTGTCAAATGAAATTAACAAAAAATGAAATAATTTTAAATGTAATGAAGTTCTTTTTGGATTTTTGTTTTAAAAAAAATCTTGAATCATCTGTAGAACTTCTGGGCTATAACAATTGAGTAATCTGAGTATGCATTTTTGTTTTTTGTCTATTTCCTATTCATAGTATCTCTTCTCTAGATTTTGTCCAAAAGTTGATTAGATACAGCAGCCTCTCCCCTCTGGCTGCTAGGAAGGGTTTTAAATTTTAGTTTGTCCAATCTTCATTCTGTCTGTGAGTTTTTGCAGGGAAATATTAGGTCAAAGGTCAAGGCCTGGAGGCCATGTATTGCATAAAATGGTATGATAACATCTCTCTAATTTCAAGCGAAAAGGGACCTTGTCACATAAACAATTACATCACAATAGCACTCCAAAGACGTGACGTCTGAGTCATGACAAAAGTATTTTTGCGTGAAGGTAAAACTGGTTTGTCAATTTATAGGTTTAGAAAAAAAATTTATATAAACTAATTTAATTTTTGAATGAATGGTTTGATTTATTCGTGAGCTGGTTCAATATACAATGTATAAGCAAGTGGTCCTTAGCATTTATCATGTTTATTTCAATGTTGTTTTTTTTTCTTTTGGATTTTTGGGGGGGGGTATATGTAACACATTCCAGTTTGTTTCCAAAGGCCCGAAAATGGTTTGTGATCATTAAATGTTCGAATCAAGTTCACTTTCTAGCATGGTTGCAATAGCATTTTGTCAATTCATTTTAAGAAAAAAAAAATGAATGCAGCAGCTAAGAAACTTTGTCTGTATTGCCATGTCATAAAGGATGAAGCGGCAAAAGCCATACGGACTTCCATATTTACTCACTAAAATTAACACGTCACCTTTAGCGCAACAAAGGTTTGAAAATTTAGCACATGTGACGCAATAAAATGTGAAGATAATAAATAGTGATAATTTCCATAGCTAATTTGTGGTGTTGTTTTCATTGCCTAAATTAATTGCAATAAATAAAAACTAAACACGGTAACTTAAGGTGAAGCTGATGTTGTTGAAGTCGAAAATTAAGAGCGAAATAGGTCATGTATTGAATCAGACGCATGTAGGTCATAAGTCCTATTTTCTTATTATTCAGGCAAAAACAGAAAAAAACAGTAGTTCCGGACTGTAAATATGAGCATATCTTGAGTTTGTAATCTTATATAATATTGTAATTGATTAAAGGTTTGATTACCCCCCACCCACCCCCCGTTTTTGAATGTGCTCGTTTGTATTACTACGGAAAGGGAAGTCTTTCAAGGACAAATTCCGAATTTTTATTTCTTTATTCTCTCGTATTATTTTTTTTAATTGATTAATTTTTTGTTTTGATTTTGCTTGTTCATTTTCGTTTTCACGCATTTATTTTACTATTTATTTCTTTTTTTAGTTCGATCATAACCACTTTGAAAACACAGGTACATACACCATATCCCATATATCGCTCATATATTTGATCAATGAATGAAGGGATCATTGTCCACATCATCAGAAAAAGTGTTGTAGTTTTTTTTTCATCCTCGATAGTTCCGTATTCTTTCTCAATTATAGATGATATTTGCAGAGTATCAAGATAATCTGATATCTTGGAAGTTGTGCACCCCCTTCTCAATGTACACTGCGACTGTAAAATCAATGCTTATATTTACGAACTCTTATTTTTGTGAACACTTTATAATTTTGTCTGATGACTCCCTTTTTGATCTCTGTAAAAAGCCTTTTATAAAGCCCTTTCCTGCAAATGAAGTTGCTTTCTATACTTGTCTGTTTACTGCATATGATTTAATTTTTTTCAATCAGGAATAAAAGAAATTACTTATTTGACAATTTTATTTTAAGAATCACCCACCCCATAATATCCTGACTATAAGAAAGAAAAGTTAAGATTTATTTTAAGTTTAACTAGTACGTTTTGTGAATAATATCCTATAATCGTCAATAATTTCAAACTTTAATTTATATATGATTTTTTTGGGGGGGGGGGGGGGTGTATGGCGTACATGTACATATATCACTCAGAGCTCCTTGGATGGCTCGTGTACCATTTTGAATGGAGCGTAGCGGAGTAAGCCGAAGATTACCGACTGTGCACATTATGCATAATGAGATTTTTTTGCTTACAATCACATGCTGGAATAAATTTAAGGAAATTTTTACCGATGACAGCGTGTACATTGTATAATGTTTGGATATTCAGGGATGAGGCCCATTTCACTCCATCTAAACATATATTGTCTTGTTCTCATTGACACTATGAATTTAACTGATTACTTAATTTACAAAATGTAACTGTGTATGAACTTGTTTATGCAAGTAATGTTTAAATTGTACATCTGTAAGTTCAATCTCTACCCAGAGTTATCGTTGTAGCAAAGCGAACGACAACTCTGGGTGGAGATTGCTGTAAGTTAGAATGTCATTCGGGACCCTTGACTTGATCAAAAAATATTGCATGAAACAACGTACCAACTCGTAAATAGGTGACACAGTATGAAATTATACGTTAACCATTTTAGTACATTCTGAACGTCAAAGTTAACGTCTGACTTTGAATTGATTGTGTTGCATTAAGCCTAGGTGTGATGTTGATGTTGTGTTGATGTTGGTGTGGTGTATTTGCCTGAAGAATCGCATTTTCTTTTTAGGTCAAGTCCACTTAAAGTAGTTATAACTTATGGATACTATGTATAAACCAGTATATTTAATTGAATTTTAGCATCTTAAATCATTGTCATGCAGGCAAGTAACATCGTTGGGGGGGGGGGGGGGGGGGGGGTAAAATATGTTTATTCTACTTTGAATTGACATATTTTCCACATTTCAATATAATTTCCAATTGAAATAAAATTAATGGAAATCGTTTCTGAAAGAAGTGTTCAATAACTGATAGGCAACAAATTACAATGCCTGAAGGTTGCACCCAACCACTCCTTAAATTTAGTTCAGAGAAGTACCATAAAAATACATGTAGGCACTGCCTAAGGGTTTGTTTTTGTGGAGGTGGGTTTGCTGATTATACCGGAAAAGAAAATTAATAAAAATCCACTGACTGGGATCAATCCTTACGACCTTACTACATGAACAGTGATATTCATTTTTACCCCACTGCGAGCAATCGTAGTTACTCGGTCAATTTCGTTAACAAGAAATAATTTCTCTTGGAAAATGGCCGTGTTGTAACGAATGCCTTGCGAGATGATTTCAGAGTAGGAACCTTTTTGTTTTTTTTATGGTAAGCGGTCTATCCCTGGTCAAGGATCCTTTCAAATACTAATTTCCAGTGATTAAAGCATGATTATGTAGATGATGTAGAAAAAAGGGTGAGATGATGTCGTTGAATATACTCCTTGAAAATTTACTACATACTATATATTTCAATATGTATATTGCATGTACATTTAGATGATATTTTCTTCAACAACCTTTAAATTATCACTTTTTTTACAATGTATACGATCATAAAAATGCTAATATTTGGAGAAATATATATTCAAAAAACTCAAAAATACCTCTATAGAAAAAAATAATTTCTAACTAATACAGAAGGGTGATTTAGTAATCACATTGCATGCTCCAAGTTTCAATGACGTTATGTGACGTTATTCAACATTTTACAGCGTTATCCTGTTAGCATTGCATTATTTTCATTTGGAGTTTTAATTAGAATTTAGAAGGTATATAATAAAGTATTTGGTATCAAAATATTCAGAAAGACTAGCTCTGTCAGAAACGGCGAAAAGCCGATTTTCGAAAATTTGGTCACGAAGGTCCATTTTCGCTTGACGCAACTCATATATGAACTCCCTTTGACTTAAAAATGTACTCTTTTTAATTTTCATGTTGAAAGGTTATGGTTAATGACAGAGATTTATAAATATATAACTGTATACAGGGTTATTTTCGCCCCCATTTTATTTTCACCCTTTCACACTTGCAAACAATTTTGCCCCATTTTAATTTTGCCAAATCATAGTTTTGTTTAAGAAATTATACTGTATTCTTTGAATTTGCTCCATTATTCACCCAAATGAGGGTAGGGCAAAGGGGCGAAAATTTCCCTGTATACAGTATATATGTAGTGATTTCCAGAAGATGACTTGATTTGGGCTCCTTTCTGTTTTTTGTAATGAAAACTCTGCAGGTTTAAAGATTTTATAAATTTTGTAATAAAGTATAATAATTGATTTTACAGAATTCACAATTTGAAAACATTTTTAAACAGAACTTTACAAAATAGCTATTCTTTTATTCCAGATAATGAACTCAGAGGCGGCTCGAAAAGAAACCCAACTTAGCTGATGTGGACCCTGAAATTCACAGCTAAAGCATGTTTGTAAGATAGTTTTCAAGTATTATTAGCAGAGTAAGATCATTGTGTTATAAGAAGAAAATACATCACTTACAGATGGTAAACTAAGTTGTTACAAGCAATTGGAGCTAGATAGTTACGCTGTTACCATAGATTGACATTCCAGCTAATATTGCCATACTAGCTCACCCGTGCCATAGACTCCAGTGAGCTTTTCTGATCATATTTTGTCTGACATTCTTCTGTTCACCTGTTAACTTGTCACATTTTTATATTCTCAGAAAGTCTAGAAATCATGTCCTCTTAGGATAGGGTGGGGTGATATAAGCTTTATATAAGCATAAAATATTGATATATGGAAGCATCATCAGGTGTTGTAACTTCAAGTTTTCATCTAAGTATGACCCCTTGGAGTTAGGTTAGGACCACAAAAAGCAATCAGAGTTTATCGTTTGAATTTATAGGGGGAAAATCTACTGAGGAAGAAAAAAAGTAGGGACATATTGAATCAGGTGAGCAATGTAGTCCGTGGGCATCTTGTTGGATTTTTAACGATCAAATGCCACATGATTGGTCATGAAGGGGCTAGGTTAGGCTTTGTAACAACTATGATTATCAGATTTTAAATTGGCTCACATATTTATTTGTAATAATATTGTCATTATTTGTTAACATATTTGTAACCTGTCTAAGCTAGAAATGATAACTTGGTCTACATTGATGCTAGGAGTCAAACAGGGCACTACATCTTGACTCTTTTCTTGAAAAAATCCTTTTTTTTTTGTGATATTGCAGTAATAAACAGACTGTAGATTGTTTATGATATTAACATAAAAAATGGTTTTGCTTATCATGGGCTTTATAGCTAGGTGATAGGAAGATTTTCAAGCTGAAGTGCAAAAAACAAACTTTTGAAGGGTACATAAGTTACAACAACTTGAAAGGAATACAATAATTTGGTGATTCAGATTAAATTTTGTTCAATTGATGGCCCCTTAGGCCTGCAACAGGGATGGTGTTACAGTAAGGGATAAAATCAATATAGAAATGCCACTTTTATGTATGAAGGGAAAAATTCTCAAATACTCAAAAACAACAGAGCAACAAACAGATCAATCTGCAAGCATTCTCAGGTAGTGAAGATTCAGATTTGTTCAGATCATGGCACTTGGAAGCTGAGGATAAAACAAAAGTAGGTTGCAGTTTTTTGCATGAGTGAAATATAGAAAAAAAAATCTAATAAGATCTATTTAAACAATGGCAAGTTACATTTTTATGACATTAAGAACTGTTACATTAAGAGATTCTAATTCCTTGATATATTTTTTATGAATTTATTGGGGTATTTTAGATTAATTTGCTCTTTTGGTTTTGAAATAACAAATTGAAATCTACAGGATTATTACTGAAATTTTTATTTGCATTCCCTACATTTTATTATACCAAGGTTAGTTAATTGAAACGTTTATTTGCATGTATCTTCCCCATTTAAAGCAACATTGAATTCTGTTCATCAATACTTCATTGTCTTTAAACATTTTTCCTTGGGATAAATGGCAATTACTCTTTGTTGAAAATGAGAAATGTATACTAAACTGTAATTTTCTTAATGTCTAAAAAACATTTTTCCTGTCTGTAGAAAGGGTCTAAAAGTAAATTGAGAATTTATCTTTCAATTCATGGCCAACCAAGGCTGTGGAAGCACCAGCTTTATGTGGGATATTACAGGAGAAAAAAAATTAATTAAGGTTCCACAACTAAACTATAAGGCTGCAGTCAATTAAGGCCCTGCTCTGCCACTATCTTATGGTGATCACTCAGTCCATCCATCCATCCAATATCATTTTCCTTGGGCATACTTTTTTTTACCATAGGTCCAGATAGACTAAAACTTTACCAATAGATTGCCCGTATGTAGAGGGTGTGTGGTGGCCTTGATCCAGTACTCTAGCTCAAAGGTCAAGGTTGAACTAGTGCTAATTGTAAGTGGACTTGTCCCAAACGCTCCCCAACTCCCTTTTGGTGCCATATTTCCTGTAAGCTTCATTAAATAAGACAAACTATATGCATTTGAGACTTTAACAATTTTTACCCAGAAGTGTACCAAGTTCATTCAAATTTTAGCATTGCATGCGTGCGCATGTGAATGCATGTTCATAATGACCATATCATCTTGTCTACACAATCTACACTAAATAACAAAGTATTTAATCCAAATGTTTCTTAATCCCACCACGTTTGGTTGAAAACCAAGGGAGTAATAGCTGTTTAAAGTTTAAGCCAATCAGATTGCAGCACACGTACATGCGCGTGTATGCATGGGCATGGTGACCATACCATCTTGTAGAAGTCCATTATATCTATCTATGTTCCAAACCCCATCCTGTTTGGTTGAAAACCAAGGGAGTTATAGCTATTAAAAGTTTCAGCCAATCAGATTGCAGCACACATGCATGCACGTGTTTCCATGATAATTGCTATATATCATATTGTACGATATCCTAATGCATGGCTATGTTTAAAATTTCAAAGGATTTCCTCAAAAAACAAGCAAGATATTGAGACTTTAGTTTCAGCCAATCAGAGCAAAGCACACGTGCATGCGCGTGAGATCTTGCTTTTTTGACCATGTCACCTTGTCTATGCTTCTAATATATACTTCTAATATGAGTTTTAAAGTATATCATCAATAACTTAAATAGTTACGTCTGTATCAATTATATTTCTCGTGTTGCACGTGCGAGCTCTTGCAAGCACACGTGCATGCACATGCTTTCATGATAATTCTTATATTACAGGCTGTAGATCTCCCTAATGTATGACTATGTTCAAAATTTCAAATGATTTTATCAAAAAACAAGAAAGATATTGAGACTTTAGTTTCAGCCAATCAGAGCAAAGCGCACGTGCATGCGCGTGAGATCTTGCTATTTTGACCATGTCATCTTGTGCATACTACTAATATATCCTTACATTATGAGTTTCAAAACATTTTGTTAAAAAATAGAAAAGTTACGGTTTTATCCATTATATATTGGTCATTTCAAGTTTTGCACGTGCGCGCTCTTGCAAGCACGTGCGCGCAAAATGACCTTGATTCCGCAAATCTAAATAACATGTCTACTGACCCTAAAAACATTTCACCTAAATCGGATGTGTAGTTTACAAGATCATTCGCGGACAAAATTTTCCCGAGAAGAAAAATAATAATAACTAGATGCGTTCTTGTTGCTTGTGCAACAAGCAGGTCTTCCGACCGACTTCTCTTTTTCCATATTGTCTGCGTCATCCCATGAAATAGATTTCATAATGTATTTTTTTGTTTACGTTCACTTACAGCAGTTTATCAACACAGATCGTGATTGTTCCAGGTATTTCACAAAATATCTCCAAATATAGCCTTTAAAAATCGGCAAAATCTTCCACACATGTTATAAAAGAGTGAAAAGAAATTTGCAACTGAAAAAAGACAAAAACAAAGAAAAAATTTGGGGAACGCCCCGAGCGGGATTCGAACCCCCGACATTAAGACAAAGTTTGGTTCGTTCATATCTTTGCAATAAACGCACGCATGAAAAAAATAAAAACATATATAGATATCTTTGAAGACGATCTATAAACCCTGTAAATCCGAAAGAAAAATATTGAAAAACAAAAAAGTTGAAAAATTAAACTTTTTGAATTCACTTCCGTTTGCGACCGGAAGTAGGAACGACAAAAAATGAAGGACGTTCGGCACATCTACATGTGATGGTCTTTCATGTCCATAAGTTTCAATGTCATATCTTTGGCCGTTTTCGAGAAAAGTTGTGTACAAAAATCCATTTAAAAAATACAAATTTCCCCAAAAATCGGGAACGCAAGAAAATTTTGAAAAAGTGAAAAACACGTCTGGAGATATTAACCTTGTGCATCTTTCCTGTAAAAATCTTTGAAATCCGCACAGTCACAGCGGAGATATCGCCATGGAAATGAAAAAAGAATAATAATAATGATAATAATAGGAAACCGACGGAAAACAATAAGGTCTTCCGAAGGAAGTCGGAAGACCTTAATAATAATAACTAGAAACGATCTCGTTGCGAGCAACGAGAGGTCTTCCGTCCGATTCACAAAAAAAACCTTGTAAAAACGAACTGAAAAGTGATTCAAAATTTTGGTCACTAGGAAGATTGAACCATGGTAGCCAATGTGAATGCGCTTTTTTCTCTTATCCACAATGCGCAAACCATTAAGCCATTGGGAGTACTGCTCTAAATATACTTGTGTATACTTTTGCAACAGTACACCTGACTACGAATCAGAAAAGGCGGGGCACTTTTCATAATTTCGCGCCAAACGCCAGGAGTAAATATTCGCGCCTTTTCTTTGGACTGATCTATTAAATAGGTTGTTTAGCTTCAATGAAATTAAATAAATAAAACCTTCTTATCGCCTTTATTTATTTCAACGTTAAGAAAGTATATTGAACACATTGTACACATTACATATCGTACCCAGGCCTGTTACACTAAAGCAGTTAAACGGAAATTAAGTTTCAAGATTGACAATGAATTGCAACGTACTGCTACGTGAAAGTCCAAGTAGTTTTTCACATTTCATGTGTCCTTATGTCAGAATGATTTAATCAAACGCTCAGCTGCCCCCATAAACCCCTACTCGCAAAATTGCTGAGTTGACAGAGACAGCCGCCATCTTGGGCCCGCTTCAGATTTTCAAATCTTAATATCTAGAGTTCAGATAACCCAATATTCAAACAACTTATATAGTAAGCATCAAATTGTTAAGATGAATACTTTTGCTTCAGTAATGTATAACAAAATATTGATCATTAGAGAGTTATAGATAAAAGACTTTTGGCCCCTCTGAGCCCCTAATTTGAGGGGTAAGCCCTATTTTTTGATATCAAATGAAAGGTCTTGTGATGTTGCACATTTTGTCTTCAATATGTTATAACAAATTATGAACAGGTGTGAAGATATGAGACAAAATGCGTCAAATTTTGTGAGATATTTCTGAGACATTTTTTCGGCCCTACCGAACTCCGGTGCCTTTTGCGCTAGAAAGATTTGGAGACCCAATTACAACTCACCAAACCTTCCTCTATTTTCCCTGAAAATCTCAAGTCCATATCTTAAGTCGTTTCGGAGGAGTTTCCCGGACAAGCCGACCCTCTGAAAATCAGAAAATCGTCCATATCTCACGACCGGAAGTGAGATAATCAAAAAGGAAAAAAACCTATCAAGATCAATTGAATATCTTTCAGATCTGAAAGTTTGGTAGAAATCGGACTAGCCATCTCTGAGAAATCGCTTGCACAAAATCGGTTGGAAGAATAATAATAATAACTAGATACGATCTCGTTGCGAGCAACGAGAGGTCTTCCGTCTGATTCAGGAAAAAAAACTTGTAAAATCGAACTAAAAAGTGATTCAAAATTTTGATCACAAGAATCCAGGTCGCCAACGTGAATGCGCCTTTTTTTTCTCTTTTCTCCCCAACGCGCGAACCATTTAGGTATTGGGAATACTGCTTTAAGCGTAAATATTCGCACCTTTTCTTTGTACTGATCTATTAAAGAGGTGCAATAGCTTCAATGAAATTAATTAAATAAAACATTCTTATCACCTTTATTTTATTTCGGCGTTAGGAAAGTATATTTAACACATTGTACACATTACATATCGTATCTAGCCCAGTATCACTAAAGCAGTGAAACAGAAATAAAGTTTTTTAAGATTGACACTGAATTGCAACGTACTACTACGTGAGTGTCCAAGTGCTTTTTTGCATTTTATGTATCCTTATGTCAGAATGGTTTAATCAAACGCTCAGCTGCCTCCATAAGCCCCTACTCGCGAAATGTCGGAGTTGACAGAGACAGCCGCCATCTTGGGCCCGCTTCAGATTTTCAAATATTAATATCTAGAGTTCAGATTAACCAATATTAAAACAACTTATATAGTAAGCATCAATAGAAGTGTCTCTATTAATATTACAAAAATAAATGAAAAATGTTGAAAAACAAAGAAAGTTGAAAATTTGGACTTTTTGAATTGGCTTCCGGTAGCGACAGGAAGTACTGACGACGAACAAAAAGTTGCGTCCTGGAAAGTATTGATCATCATCTATAAACTCTGAAAGTTTCACATTGATATCTTTTACCGTTTTTGAGTTTAATCGTGGACAAAATGTCGTTTTAAAATCAGGAAAATGGTCCAAAACTTGGCACCAGAGAGGAATTTCCAAAAACTGTCTTGGAACTTTCAAGAGTATCTTACAACACACCTTTCCTGAAAATTTCATGTAATTCTATCCAGTAGTTGCCGAGAAATCGTGTCAGAAAAATAATAATAATAATAATAAGAAACAGAGCAATAACTATAAGGTCCTCCGTGAAGACGGAAGACCTTAATAATAATAATAATAGGGAAAAAGAAACCGAAGAATAACAAGAAGGTCTTCCGTTGGAGACGGAAGACCTTAATAATAAGAAACAGAGTAAAAACAATATGTTCCCCAACTTCGTTTGGGGAACATAATAACCTCTTTATGTTAAATCTTTGTTTGGAGCATATTTTCTCTCTTTTTGGCTCTGATCATGAAATTTGCTCATATTCCAATCCTATACTGCCTGGTGATATAAGTTGTGCCTAATTTGCCTCATTTTTCCAATCAGAGGTCAATGTCATTCTACCTCTGGTGGCATAAAAAATCCTTGTTTAGAGCATATGTACAATTGTACATTCTTTCAGCTTGTCTCAGTTGAGCTCATCCTTCAACTATAGAGTGCCTTTGAATAAAAAGTATGCTGTGCTCTGAATCAATTTTCTAGAGGAAGGTCAAGGTCAGAAAAGCTATTGTGTAAAATCCTTGCCCGGAGCATATTTTTCTCTCCCCTTAGCTCTAGCTAGTTCATATTTCACTCACAGAGAATCTTTCAGTAAAAAGTGTGCAGTGACCTTGAATCAATTTTCTGGATCAAAAGTCAAGTTCACCCCACCCCCCCTTTTTTGTCTAATGATCTCTGTCTAGAGTATATTTTCTCTGCCCTTGGCGTAATCAGGCTCAAACTTCACGCATACTAGTGCACAGAAGATGTGAAGAGACTGAACAAAGATCAAGGTTGAAAAATGTCTCTGATTGAAATGCTTTGTCAAGAACCCGTTTTCTTTCCCCTTGGCCCAGTTGGGCTGTTATTTCATTGATGGGACTGCTTATGGGTAAAGAATATGCTTTTTTATATTTTTGAAAGGTCAAGGTCAGAAAACCCTCTCAATGATTTCAAGTTAAACTTATATATACAATAAGGCATTCTTCATTTTCTGGAATTGCAGCCCTTGAAGCCAGGTTAAAGGAAAGGGTTTTCAGGTAAAGCATTCTACGATATGCATGCATGAGAAGTAATCATGTTTTTCCTCAATCTGTGTTTGTTTTTGCCTATCAAACTGTGTTATCGATAATCGCTTCATTCATGATCAATGAGAATTATCTTGAGGGGAACTTTGCTGTAAATAGCTAAGTTAGATATCTCTCTCTGCTAGAACAACTGTCCTCGAGAGTGAAGTGTTCATTAATCAATATTGTTAGATAGATGTAATTGGTTTTCTGCATCTTACATAATCATGGTTTTTAAAAGGCCAAGGAAATTGATCTTGCCCATTATCATGATGGGTAGTTATTGTAAAGGAATTGTTAACATGGATGAAAAAAGAGAGGAAATTGCAACAGATTCAGATTTGCACAATACTTTGAAGATTTTGCATTTGTAACTTGGTGTAATAGGTGGCAATCCTAAGGAAGAAGGTCATTACAGATGTATTTTTATTACTTGCCAAATCAACAAGTATTAAATCTACATTATATCAACAGAATTCTGAAAGGAAACATTAATTGTGAAGGGATTATTTTTCATTGTTATAAGATATGAAAAAGTAAAATTAAACCTGTTAAGATTTAGTGATTTTCATGTTTGCTGAGAAATTGTTAATCATCTCAGCTGAACGGGAGTAATTATTGGATTTAAGAAATCTGTAGATTTAGTAGCCCATAAAATCCTGATGCATTTCTTGCAAGGATGGCTTCAGTGCTATCTGTTTCTGGCAGAAATAAGTGAAAATATAGCACTTATCCACAGTTTCCTAGGATTGTCACAGTGTACAAAATTTTTTTTTTATTTGCAGAGACTAAGGAAGTGAAGTTCATTCTGGAAGATTATCAGAGGAGGATCAGAGTCCTAAGGTAAGAGAATGGACTTTGTGAGGAGGCGACTCTCCCAGGGAGGGAGCAGTGATGACGAGGGGAAATCACTCTCCTCAAGCTTCTCCGAGGGAACCTCCAGGTTCTTCACCTCAATGGTGGCCAAGAAAAATGGACTTATTAATAACTTATCCTCCAAACTGGAGAATGTGATGAAGACCTCCTCTAGTCCAGAGGATTCAGACTCTGAATCGGTTAGTCCAGCACAGACCCCAAGTTCTAATTATAGCTCCTACAGTAACGGAAGCAGGAATTTCAGGGGAGATGACTTCTCAAATCAGCCATATCGATCAAAGAAAAAGACAGAGAGAATTGGCATTCCACGAAGACAGAGCTCGTCTGGGTATTCTGACAGCAGTGGGAATGATGAAGTGGCTGCTGGAAACATCAGCTTTGATGAGCCAATATACTCACCAACATCAAAATCAACATTTAACTATGATTCTAAAGAACATATGCTGAAATCAAATTGTGTGGGCTTGAAGAAAGTTAATAATGAAGACCAGGCCAAAATACAAAACATTTCACAAAACACTTTTGAAAGTGAAAGTAAAAGTAAGGTAACATCAGATCTACCAAAGACAGAGAGTCGGGAGGCTTCATCTGACAATAAATCAACAGAAGAAGGGGAAAATGACAGTGAAGAGGACAAAAATTCAAAAGTCTTCCCTGTGGAGAAGAGTGAAAAAGAGACAAACATCGATGTTGTGAATGAGTACAAGAGAGCACCAAAAATGAAACGCCGATCCAGTACGGTGGATGAAATGTTGTTTGACGACTACGTACCACCCGAAGAACCTGAGTATGAGGAAAATTCAGGTGAAAATGGAGATGAAAACTCAAATTCCAAGAGAAAAACTCTGATTCCTATGGGGGATTTGATGTCTTTTGATGATGACCCTGAAAAAGAAATTGTGAATCGTCGGAAAGTTCCCATTGGAGATGAAAAGTTATCTTCCTTTACCAGTGTCTCTAGCATTGACAGTTCTGAGTACAGTGTGGGCAATAATCATAATGGTAACGAGTCAACTTCTGAGTCTGAGTTTGGAGGCTTCCCTGTCAAACGAACATACTCAATGGGATCTGAAAACTCTTGGAGTTCATCATATAGTATAGACAGTCAGCCTGACGAACGAACACTGGAGTGTATGGAGTTTATGAAAGCCTTTGTGGATCAAATATTTGACCCTAGGTTTGTACCACATTTAAACATTGCATCATAATATTGCTCACCTGAGCTAAAGGTGAACTTTTCTGATTGAAGTGTCCATTATCTGCATCTGTTTGTCTGCTTGTTTACTTTTATATTTTTGTTTACATTTTTGATTTCCTCTCCACTGAGGACAATTTCAGGTTGACTTGAAAAAAATGAAAGACCATGTTTTCTTTCAAGGGGAAGATAGTCAAGAAAAGTCAAAATAGGACTGCTCATTTAGAAATCTCTTCAAGAACCATGGGGCCTGAAAAGTTGAAATCTATGTGAAATCTTCCTGATGTGAACTAAGGAAAGAAATGTTTGTTGAAATTTTGGCTCTTAATGAAAAGGTCCGGTTGGAAGGACAATGGAGAATCTTAGTTTTACGTGGAAATGTCTAGGGGAAGTCATGATCCTCCTTGCAATATGGGATCAAATTTTTTCTGGGAATTCTGCACTGATGAGTGTTATGGTTCTTGGGTCTCTTGTTTTTATATGCTTTTGTGTAAAGCATGGTTTGATGGTTGTTTTATTATTCTTCTAACCAGGTTTGAATCAAATTAGGAACTTTGCCACAATTTATTATGAGCTGCTAATCCAGTCTTCATAAATAATTATGTGCTACTATATACCTCAGTAATGAACATTATCAGATTTACATTTTATTTCATACAATTCTATCGGTATTTCAAGCTTTTCTGTTGCAAATTATTTTATTAATCTTGCAAAATTAATCAATATAATATGTAGCAGAAATTTTCTTAAAACAACATGTCATTTGCAAAGGTATTGTTTTTGTACCTATTTTGTACACATTCAGTATCTGAAAATTTATGGCAACTTCTTTGACTGTCAATACCTTGTCATATTGTCATCCTTATAGCTATAAAGGGAATAAAGAAATTTTCATAGAGTAATGTTTGTAATTAAGGGTCTTGGTTGAACTATGGATCTGTTCAAAAGCTATGGCCAAGGATAAAGTTTTATTTTTAAAAATTAGGTCAAATTCCAAGGTCAAAGTGTTAAAATTATAGGTAAGCAAGAAAAGATGTTATCACAGAGAAGATGCATGTGAAGTAGGAAAGCCCTAGCACTCACCATTTAAAAGTAAAGACCAAGGTTCAAGTTTGTTATAATTTTGAAAAAATGGGTCAACCCAAGAGATCAAGATCAAGAGGTCAAATATTTTACTGCTGTAGTACCCAAAGAAAGGTCACAAGCAATATGATGTGAAACATGAAAGCCTTTAGTTAGCTCTAACCAATCAAAAGTTATTGGCTAAGCAAAAGTTTTTGTAGATAAAGAGACAGACAGATTGACAGACAGGGCAAAAACTATATGTCCCAGAATCTTCAATTATGGGGGCATAAAATTGGTGCATCAATTTTTTCAAAGGTGGATCTTATAATGTAAAAACAATACTTTTCTCTGTGATGGCATTTGAATATACGTAAATTATAAGGGTTCATTCAGCTAATAAAGATGAATCGCTATATATAGTGGAAAATCAGGGGAGATATGATTGAGCTGAAACACTTTAATCTTTGTTTCAGTTTTACCATCATGCTATATAATACATCATTTTTATGGCGGTTTATTCCTTTTGATCCACTGTTTGATGAATCACAAGGACAGGGAGACAGAGGGCCCAATAGAATAAGCTTCATCTCTTAAAACGAAGGCCAAATCAATGATGGCACAGGAAAAATGGGAAATCATGTTTTATTTTTCTTGCGCTTTTTTAATATGGACAAAGTCACCATTTTATCTTTAATCTTTTCAGGTCTACAGGGAAACTTTATTGGAAAAATGTTTAAGTAGTCGCTTATATTATATATTTATAGACATTAGGGAATAGGTGCTTTTTTCTTAGATTCTTTATGAAATTCTTGATTGACGGCAAGCATCGTCTCAATCTTCACAATGTAGAGATATTGGTATTCACTAATCCTGTCATCCAATGGCTTAAGGCTAGTTACTTTGCAATAGGCTTTATCATCTAGCTTATATTCATCAGGTATCTATGGTAAATTTGACAAGTCAATTCTAGAACACCTGATGAATTGTATCTGATCAAAGAGTGGTCAGACTGGGGAATGCTATATATATGCTTTTTACAAATAACTGAATTCATATAGAATTGATCTCCAGAATATTTCTTATTGCATAAAGATTACCAGGGGTATGTCAAATTAATATATTCATATATGATTTGTTTTTGTATTTTTAGCAAGGAAATTTCTCAAACAGAAAAGGCAAAATTTGGAGAGTTTTGTCAGGTAAGTTTTTTTTATTTATATACAGTGGACCTTCAGAGGTCCGGACGCCAGATATCTGGATGCTTCAGTGTCCAGACGACTTTTCATTGGAACGGAATTTTTTAATGCTATTTTGTCTTGTTGAACAGAATAACTGGTAATTCAGATATCCGTATGCTTCACATATCCGGGCAAATTGACTAGGAACCAAAGCGTCCGGATAAATTGTCCACTGTATTTTTAGCTCTACTGGTCAGAGACCAGAAGAGCTTATGCGATAGTAATGCGTCCGTCTGTCTGTATGTTGTCTGTCTGTCTGTCTGTCTGTAAACAATTTTTCAAAATGCTACTCCTCCTACAGTTTTGGTCCGATTTCAATATAACTTGGCACACAAGTAGACTACACTAAGATACATAATTTTGTGCATCGGTTTTTGATTTCGATGAACGATGTTGCCGTGGTTACTAAAAATAGAAATTTCTGTGAAATTCTTTCAAAATGCTACTCCTCCTACAGTTTTGGTCTGATTTCAATATAACTTGGCACAAAAGTAGACTACACTAAGATACATAATTCTGTGCATCGGGTTTTGATTTCGATGAACGGTGTTGCCGTGGTTACTAAAAATAGAAATTTCTTTGAAATTCTTTCAAAATGCTACTCCTCCTACAGTTTTGGTCCAATTTCAATATTACTTGGCACACAAGTAGACTACACTAAAATACATAATTCTGTGCATCGGATTTTGATTTCGATGAACGGTGTTGCCGTGGTTACTAAAAATAGAAATTTCTTTGAAATTCTTTTAAAATGCTACTCCTCCTACAGATTTGGTCCGATTTCAGTATAACTTGGCAAACAAGTAGACTACATATATTCTGTGCATATATAAACGGTGTTGCCGTGGTTACTAAAAATAGAAATTTCTGTGAAATTCTTTCAAAATGCTACTCCTCCTACAGTTTTGGTCCAATTTCATTATAACTTGGCACACAAGTAGACTACACTAAGATACATAATTCTATGCATCGGTTTTTGATTTCGATGAACGGTGTTGCCTTGGTTACTAAGAATAGAAATTTCTTTGAAATTCTTTCAAAATGCTACTCCTCCTACAGATTTAGTCCGATTTCAGTATAACTTGGCACACAAGTAAACTACACTAAGATACATAATTCTGTGCATCGGTTTTTGATTTCAATGAACAATGTTGCCAGGTTACTAAAAATAGAAATTTCTGTGAAATTCTTTCAAAATGCTACTCCTCCTGCTGTTTTGTCTGATTTCAGTATAACTTGGCACACAAGTAGACTATACTAAGATACATAATTCTGTGCATTGGTTTTTATTTTGATGAGTGGCAAGGATCATTTTTCTATTTATTGCTGATTTAAAGTCTCAAGTCCCAACTGCTACTTTTCTCTTCCTTTGTTTTAAGTATAAACCAGTAGAGCTACAGTCTCGACAGAGACTTCTGGTTTATTGTAATTATTGTAAATATAGTCAATACAGAATTGATGCTTGTGTGATAATTCAAATGCTCCCTATAAATGTACAACAGAAGAATCGACATCAAGGCCAGAACTGTCACTCAGAATGCAATGCTATTTAGGAACAGAGATATAACTGTCTCTTCTAAAAGTTATCTTAATGCGGTTTTATTGTATTTCCCCTTATGTTGTGCACTATATATGTCAGGGAGGCAGATTTACCCCCTCTATTATGTTCTGTACTGGTGTCATTATGCAAATGTTGTGGCAGGATTAAGGAGTGCCTGACATGTAAATAAACACCTGGTCTCATTAGGACTTTATTTAGGGAGATGTGCAGCCATGTCGTTATCCTGGGGGTGAACCCACTGGCCCCCTTCTGCGGTCGAGGTAGTCCATTTGTCATGACAAGTTCTTGTTGTATTTTCAGGAGGTGGCCGGGAGACAATGGTTTGCACGATATGTCAATGGACAGGTTGGTACCACAGAAAATTGCATTCAGAAAACATCGGTACAATCTCATTTACGTGTTTATTTTATACAGAGAATTTTATGAATCCATGGCATTGAAAGAAAGATTGATACGACATGCATATCTAACTAAAAAGTATCATCAAGTTCTCTTTATGTTTTATATTATGTAATTTAAAAAAATGAAAGATTCTAATTTTTATGTTGTTTTGCTCTAAAATTAATTGTTTGGGTTACATTGAATTAATCAAAAAGAAAACAAAAACAAAAAAATTGGTAAGCTTATGTCTACAATATATATTTATGCCCCCCTTCGAAGAAGGGAGGGCATATTGCTTTGCTGCTGTCTGTCTGTCGGTCCACTTAGTTTCCGTTCATTTTATTCGCAATCGTTGCACATACTGAAATGAAATTTGGTATACAGATATATCACATGAATATCTAGGTCAAGTTCTGTTTTGGGCATGATTGCACTATTCTTGACAGAGTTATGCCCCTTGGACTTAGAAATATTTCCAATTATTTGCAGTTTCCGTTCATTTTCTTCACAGCCGTTGAACATATTGAAATGAAATTTGGTATACAGATATATCAGTTGAATATCCAGGCCAAGTTCTGTTTTGGTTAAAAATTATGTAATTTACATCTTTATGCCCCTTGAACTTTTAAAAATTCCAATTTTTTGCAGTTTCCATTCATTTTTTTCACTAAGTTTTTTTATGTAAATGTAACTTTATAACAGATTTATCATATGAATATCAAGACCAAGTTCTGTTTTGGATACAATCCAATCTGATTAAAATCAGATCCTTTGATCGGCTCACATAGATCGCTACACAAGGATCTGAAGAAACCCCATTCAGGGTCATCTCCTGGTGACCTTTGCTATATACAGTTATTTTGACCAATCAGTTATATGGATATAGCGACATAGAAGTGAAAGTAGCTGCGAAGAAGATCTTATCATTTTTTACAAAACAAAGAGCTAAAAAACAAGACAAAAGCAAGTACTTATTATATTACTGTACAGAAAAAAAACTGTGGTCCTTCTCTTGACAGGCTACAAAGCTTCACTTTTTCCTTCGTGTACATCTGGGCTTTCCCCTCTGTAACTGAATTGCAGATACTTTCCAATTCTCCAAAGTGAACATTTGATTGGATAATTGAAAGTCACCAGGAGATGACCCTGAATGGGGTTTCTTCAGATCCTTGTGTAACGATCTATGTGAGCGGATCAAAGGATCTGATTTTAATCAGATTGGGTACAATCGGGCCATTTTTGACAGAGTTATGCCCCTTAGACTTAGAAAAATTTCAATTATTTGCAGTTTCCATTCATTTTCTAAACAACCGTGGTACATACTGAAATGAAATTTGGTATACATATTTATCAGATGAATATCTTTGTTTTGAATAGGATTAATTATTTTTAACAAAATTAAGAATTATGCCCCTTAGATATAAAAATTCCAATTATTTGCAGTTTCCGATTTTCTTTGCAGAGGTTGCACATTTTTTGGTATACAGATTTATCAGCTGAATATCTAGGTCAGGTTCTGTTTTGGATACAATCGCACCATTTTTGACAGAGTTGTGCCTTATTGGACTTGGAAAAATTCCAGTTTGGGGGGAGGGGGGCATAAGTGTTTTACAAACATCTCGTTTTTTTCTGTACTACCATAATTGGTGTTACAGTAAAACTTGTTTAGTACGAACACGGATATAGCAATTCATGGATATAGCGAAGTTTTCCGGGGTCCCTTACAAAATTCTTATTAACAATTTTTGGTAAAAGCGAACTGATTTTGAGTCCCTTAGAGGTTAAAAATTATGTAATTTACATCTTTATAATGAATTTTTAAAGATCTCAAATTTTGTTATTTTAAACTTACTTTATTTTCACTAAGTATTTTTTTATATAAAATTTAATTAATAATAAAACCATAGTTATCCAAGGTATGTTTTGTAATAATTGGTTCCCTAACATATTCGGTAGAAATGCTTGAAGGAAAACGTGCATATTGCGAATTTGCTATATATAGTTATACGAATTCGTTATACAGATATAACAAATTACGGATACAGCAAATTAGATTCAGAGGTCCCCAGGACCTCAATTAAACCAAGTTTTACTGTAGTACTTTTTTCTTGCAAAAGCTTACTTTGTTCCTCACAGAATGAAGTGCAGTAGTTGCAGATATGTTACAAAGCATTATCTTTGTGATTAGTCTTGCATCAATCCCAAGACTGCTAACTATGCATTCATCAAAATACTTACCCCCGGTATTAAATACCAGTGGAGAAAGCTTGGCTAATTTGAAATATATACACTGTTGCATTTGTAAAGCTTAATTAAAATGAACTTCTATTGAAAGAAAATGTTGGATAATTATATACTGTAAATCACTTTTTATTCGCGAGAACTTTATTTTCGCGTAATTACGTGAGACAGTGTGCTCGCGAAAATTTAATTCTCGCATATAATAGTATTCCTTAAGATTATATAGAAATATATACAATTCGTAAAATTTTGCTTAATTAAAAGTCAATGACTATCTCGCGAAAATAAAATGTGTGGATAATTATATATCTTATATATATCTTATAGGGTTTCTTGTATTTTTTGAGGAAATGCATTCACTATTTCATAGTAAGAATGTTCACTGTAGCGTTTGGCAATAAATGTAAAAGAAATGACTGTTTTGTTTGATGAACAGTAAAACACCTTATAGCAAGCATGCTTATAATGCTATTTTTGATATACAGTGTATAATAACAATAAACTTTGACATTCCGTACAGAGGGTACATAACAAGCGGGTGACAGAGCAGATATTTTTCCAGCTGGTGCAGTATTTTGCAGTTGTGCTGTTTGAATGTGGGGAGGCTGAAGATTTTACTCCTGCCAAGTCACTCATGAACATGTGCTTCACTTTCTACTATGAAGGTAAGTCACAGAGTACGTCTCTCAAAGCTAAAATATTGATCAGACTGTCCCTCTTAGCTCTTGTCCTACCTGAACCAAACTTTCCTGGATGATGCAACTAGAATTCACTCTTCCAAGACTGGCTTCAGATGCTGGAGCTGTTCTTCATTTTCAAGATAAATGGCCAAGTTATAAGCCTATGTTGTCCTATGATGTTCAAACTTGCATTGATAAAGCATTCTGGGTAGCTTTTTATCAGATGGCTTTGGCTGCTGGGTCTGACCTTCATTTTCCAGATGAGTGAACAGATTCAAGCTTTACCTGTATGAAACTCTTGCATGTATGATGAATCTAGACATGCCAGATTTGCTTCAAATATGGAATCTGATGTCCTTTTTTTTGAATGAGTGAACAGATTGCTTTTAAAGCTTTTATTCCCAAGTAACATGTTTCTTGGTCCAAATTAATAAGAGTGATGAATCTTGGAATGTACCCTACCATACTTGCTTTAATTTAAATGCTCGATCAGACTTACATTTACTGAAGCAGGTTCACTCCCAAGTAAATTTAAGTCCTATGATGACCACACTTGCATGGCAGATGAACTACAGACTTGCTTTTGATGCTGAATCTGATGTGTTTTCTAAGCAAATAAACAGGTAATTGAACATTTTAAGTTTCTGGAACAGGTACATCTTCAAGTATCTATGCTATAGATTCTACTTAGACCAAACTTGTATAGATGTGTCTAGAAATGCACAATACCAGAGCATTTCTTTGGGTAACATTCCTAGATGTGAACTCTGAAATCTTTGGTTACTATGTTTTTAAAAATATGGTATAGATATAAGTTTTAGATTTGATCATGATTGAGAAGATAAATTACATTGAAAATTTTAAGCTTTTGAAAGTAGGGGTTTCATCCATATATTTAGAAGGGAGGTCTGAACCAGGTGAGCATTGCTGCCCATAGGTGGATGTCTTGTTATTTCTACTCTGTTATAGCAGTCCTTACTAAGGACCTCATATATAATAGATTTCTGAACAGCTTTAGACTAGGAAAGTGAAGTATTGTATAACAGTATGTATCATTCATGATCAAGGACTGTTTTTAGATCAAGAATTGACTCTATTACAGTGTATACCAAAAAGAAGTGTATGGAAAACATCTCATTAACAGAAAGTTAATAAAATCACTCACCATGATTAAGATGAAGATTAGTGTACTTTTGCTTCTGTAATGAACAGCAACTTCCAGTTCCTGCTACTTATATACATACAGTTCACTTGTACCTTTAGCCTCTTAAGATTGATCAATATTTGAGATAATGTTAGTTTTCTGGTGTTATTCAATTTCATATTTTGCTAGAAAGGTCTCAATCATATGTTGCAAATAAACAGGATCAACTTATAGGAAAGTTCCTTGGCTCTACAATGATGCATATGATTTCTTCTTTAATTAAAAAAGATAGTATTAATATTATTCTAATATTTACTTTGGAGAAATGCAAAATATTGATGATTTCATCTATTAAATCATTTGAAGGAACATTTTTATGCCCCTGTAAACAAAAAATGGGGGATGTAAGGTTTTTGTCTTGTTCATCTGTCTGTCTATCTGTCCCCCAAAACTTTAACATTGCCCATAACTTTTGATTGGTTGGAGTAATTGTTCTCATGTTTAACAAGTGCACTTCTTGTGACAAGGATGGTCATTGGGCACCAACATATTTGAATTCTTGACCTTGAATTTGGTGTTTGACCCAATTTTGCAGGAATTTACCCAACTTTAACCTCCGCCATAACTTGAACAGATAGGGATAGGGCTTTCATACTTCACAAGTTTATTCATTATAGTAAGACCTTTCCATGGATATAAATATTGTTTGACCTTTGATTTTTACCTACTTTGAAAAAAAAAAAACTTTAATTTCGGACATAACTTTTTGAACAGTCCATATTAGGGCTTTCATATTTCACAGATATATTCCCTGTGACAAGGCTTTCCTTTTGACCTTGATCTTGGAGTTTGACCTACATTTAAAAATCTTTTACCTTAGCCACATTTTTAATTGGTTAGTGCTTGGATGTTCATTTTACAAGTATATTCATTGAGAACAAATCCTTTCTTCTGGAAGCAACATTTTCATATCTTGACCTTAGAGTTTGACTTGCATTTGAGAAACTACAATTTTCACCAAAAGCTTTCATATGGGGGCATCAATGTTACACAAACACAGCTTGTTTTTTTGCACATAAAAGTGAAATAATTAATGACACAGAAATGAAGTCATTTCCAGGTTAAGCTTTACCTAGACACCATCTTTCTTAATTTAATTATACATGTACATGCTAAGCAGACATTAATTTATATAAATGCTAGTATTTACTGACATTAATTTTGTTGACAGGTTGCCATGGTAAGAACTTCCTGTACAGTTACCTTAGAGACCAGCCTATCTGGCAGTCACTGAGGTTCTGGAATGCTGCATTCTTTGATGCAGTACAGCTGGAGAGATCCAAGAGACCTGTCTGTACCAGGTACGCTTAATGTTCTCAATAAACACAAGTCATCTTTACCTATCCATCTCTCTGACAAATTTGTGAGGACCTTTGTATACTGCTAGATTTACTTTTGGTAATGAAATTACAAAGAAGACACAAACTGTCCCCTCAATAAGCTTTCATACTAAATTTGGATTTTTTAATCCATTCTAAAGGACTTGAAAAGGTGAAAGTAGTTTAAAAGGAAAAAAAAATGTAATTCTATATTCCAGATAGAGATTCTTGAAAAAGGAAATTCTGAATAAAGCCTGTGTTTCCTGTAAATTTTTAATTGAAATGTATTGTTTTAAAGATGTCAGAAAACTTTGTTAGAATAGTAAACTTCTCCTGTATTAATTATTTTTGGTCTCTGCAGTCAGAGGTGTAGATTTTTGTCATTGGCTGGTGCTATGTTTTACACCCAGCTGGCCTTAGAGAAATCAAAGCTACTAATAGTAGTGCATAGCTAAAAAAACAATTACAGTTGAATATCAGTATATCTGGAATTTGAAGGGCCTTGGAAATAAACTTTGCTTCGCACATTTTGAATCAGTAAATTCCTGTATGCTCGCACATTTTCCTTAACTACTGTATTATCATGTTATCAATCAAGAGTTGTCCTGTCATCTGTTATTAAATCTCAAGCATTCTCGCAATAAATAAAAAAAAAAAAATGTTATTCTTCTCTTCATCATATATAATCATAATGTAATCTATTCTAAAAATTAATTCATGTATCTTACAATCTAATTAAAATTAGATGTTAGATCCGCTCGCATACTCGCTACACTAACATCTAAAAACATCCTATAGAGGGTCATGTCAGAGGTCAAATTCTATCAACCAATCAAATGGTCGCCTGCAAAATTATGATATTTTCCCGCGTTTCGCTAGTATAATTTTATACAAGATGTTTATACGCATGTTGTGTGGATTGCGAAGTGACCACTGCTTTGATTTTGAGGTGTAGTACATTTTTTAAAGGTTGGTCACTGGCCGACTGATTAAATTTTTTAAATTTATGTATAAAGGGTATAAGTGAATATATTTATATACATATATTTGATTTTTTTTAGGGTTTTATTGGTAGGTTGTGAGGTCCGTCGCAAATTTTTTGCTAAAAACACAGGTTTCTAGAGTTTTTTAAAAATTATTTTTATCTCTAGTTTTTCCTGGCCGGCCCTGATGCTTTTCATGTTTATCACAAAGAATATTTTAGAATTATAATTGATGCAGCAGTTTTGGGGGATTTTGATGTTTTTATTTCTCATACACAATGTCATGTGTTATATATATGTATATTGATGTACTGTTAATAAAATACGGCGTCCAGCACACGCACGGCTGGCTGTCATGCATAGAATGATGTTTGTTTGTATAAAAGTAATGGAGTGAATACTCTTACATTTGTTGAAGGGAATAAGTCTAGAATTGTTCTGAATTTGACCTTTGACGTGACCCTCTATGGGATGTTGTTAGATGTTAGTGTAGCGAGTATGCGAGCGGATCTACATGTAACATCTCATTTTAATTAGATTGTGTAACTTATTGCATATATCGAAAATATGGCGGCTTTGCATAATCCATGCCATGCTTATGTACTTACAATTTTACAATATCTATTACACATTTTTCATGTCCCTGCCCTATGATGTCAAACGCAGGGACAGTCGCACGAGATTTACATGCATATTAGGCCTACATAGCTCCTGGCCTATGCTTGGTGAAATTTACAATCTGATGGAATTATGAAGAAATCAACTCAACTAACTTTCAAAGAGTTATCACAGAGAAAACAAATAGAAATGAAAATTCATGTAGATAGGTATCACCCTGTTTATGCCGTTATCTTGACAACAATTTTGGAATTGGATAACATTGAAATGTGTGTGTACTTGAAATTTAAAGGAATATTTTTTTAAACCAAAAAAGAAACCCACAAGGGAAATAGGGGGGAATATAGTGAAAAACATGTCTCAAGTATATAGCATTTTTTCCCTAAATATAACTTGCTTTCAGCATTGTTACATGATGGCTATTAAATATGGAAAGCCACAATGTAATTAAGTTTCATAATAAGCATGAGAAAATGAGAGACAACATTCCTGATAAACATGTAACCTGCTTCTGATGATAAATGATGTGGTGGTATGTCTTCTACTGTTCCTTATTGCACAATAATTCTTTTAAACTAAAGTATGGTTGAGAACAATCTTTTTTCATCTCAATTATGACATTTTTACGTACTTATGTCTTAAATGATGTTTATAGAAGAAAACCATTTAAGAGGAATTATCTTGCACCGTTTCATCAGACAGTTTGTCTTTTTTGTGGTTGGGAAAACCAGGTATAATTCATAGCTTTTTAAGGTCACCATAGTCACTGATGCCACTTATTTCAGTCTTTGGATTCCCATCTTACATCGATTTTGGCAGCAGGGAGGGTAGTTAGGGGATGACAAATAGATTTTTAAGGCACTTGTCCCAGGGCAAGTACATGGTCAAGATTCACTTGCCCTACCTAAATACTGTAAACCAACTTTTATTGTATTTATAAATATTTAAGAAAGAGGAAGACAAATATTTCAGTAGATCATGCAAGCCTTTATTTTCGCGATCAAGCCTTTTTCGATCTGTTTTAAATTGACAATACTTTAAGTTGGTTACAAAGTATTCGCGATGACGAGGCTGTCGCGAACTTTGCGAAAATTTCTCGCACGCGAATAAAAGTTGGTTTACAGTATTTGCTTGCCCTACAGTAAGCTGATACTGTATTTATAAATATTTAAGAAAGAGGAAGACAAATGTTTCAGTAGATCAACAAGCGGCAGCCCCTATGTCCACCTTTAAATATATGACTTGCTAATATATTTTTTTTGTTAAGTCACTTGCCCATGGGCAAGTGGTTGATGAAATTTCACTTGCCCACCCCTAAAATTCACTAGCCCCGGGCGTCTGGCAATGGGATTTGTCTTCCCCTGGGGTAGTACATATCTTGAAAAATCAGAATATCCTTGAAAATCTTTGCCTTTACACACAGTCATACATGTATAGCAGGCAGACTATTAACCTGTCAGTGAATTTAATTTTAAAAAAAAAAGAAATAAATGAATTTCTACTGCATACAAGATATTTGTCCCCATTTTATTTTAGTCCCTTATGCCTCATTGCAAGTGGGCAAATTTAAAATGAATTGAATTCAATGGTAGCCTTACAGTATATAAGCATTATATAAAGTTATTATACAAAAATAGAAACTTGCACAAAATAGCCATACAAAATTAAAAATAATGCTGAATTAAATCAATATCTATTATATTGTCTGAGTATAGAGATATATAATTATATCGTTATGAAAAGCTCATCTTGTATGTAATGCTGTTTCTATATTTGAATGTCTATTAATCTCAAAGACACGCCTTCTTCATTTGGGTGATGAGGCCATTAATTATGGTTGGTTTCCCTGTAAGGCTGGTGTGACAAATGAACTGTCTACCAGAGGCTGGGTCTTACTGTCGTTTCTCACCGTTTTGTTGATTTTTGTAGCGATGAAGGTGATGATCAACAGAAGGATGACAGACAGTTCCAGGAAAACATCACCTTTGGACAGCTAGGGTACTGCACATTAATCTAAAAACAGTTAAAATGGAAGCTGTTGTGAAATGAAGTATTAGATAACAATGAAAAAAAAAAAACAATAAATGATTCCACTTTTTTAATCAAAGAATCAAACAAAGTATCAGTAAATGGTATGAAATTTCAATTCAGTGATTCAATTTCATTTGATAAATGTATATATTTGTCAAAACCAAGGTAAATGGAGCCAATAAAAAATTGTTTTTCTTCCTTTTTTCCTACCCATTGCCCTTTCTCTTATTCTGTATCATTTAATTTGTAATAAGTTTTGTATCCCATACATGTCTTTGTACTTTAAGGACTTTCACGTGCAATATGAGGGCATTTGGTTTGTCCAAGGAACTGTGTGTAGAATTTCTGAGGAAACAATCAATAATTGCCAACCTGAAAAGGGGTAAGCTCAAAGGTTAATCTTATTTATAGAAGTAAAAATAAAATTACATTAAGTTCTTTAAGTTACTAGATGCCTGTTCATGGCAATTTTGAGGTGATATTTATTATGAGGGGTTAATGATGAAATCTTAATTTTTAGCTCACCTCAACGAAGTTGGGGGAGCTTATGTAATACCCTCGGCGTCGGTGTCGGCGTCGGCGTCCCAGATTAAGTTTAAGTTTTTTGGAGCAGTTTTCTTTTTAAGTACTTCTATGTCATATATTGATTAGACATGCATGGAAGATGGTTCTAGTGTGTTTCATTGTACCAGTCAAAGTTTCAGATGCTGCAATTTCAGCAAAGGAATGACCAGGTTAATGTTTTTGGAGAAGGTTAACATTTTTGGTGCAGTTTTTGGTGTAGGTTTCATTTCCAAGTAACTATAAGCCCTATGTTGACCAGGCTACTACCGGGCTTGCTTCGGATGCTGAATCTGACCTACATTTTCCGGTTGAGTGAACAGGTTAAAGTTTTTGGTGTAGGTTTCATTACCAAGTAACTATAAGCCCTATGTTAACCAAAGTTGCATGGATGATACATCTAAGGATGCATACTACCGGGCTTGCTTCGGATGTTGAATCTGACCAACATTTTCTGGTTGAGTAAACAGGTTAAAGTTTTTGGTGCAGTTTTTGGTGAGGGTCTCATTTCCGAGTAACTATAAGCCCTATGTTGACCAAACTTGCATGGATGATACATCTAAGGATGCATACTACCAGGCTTGCTTTGGAGGGTGATTCTGACCTACATTTTCCGGTTGAGTGAACAGGTTAAAGTTTTTGGTGCAGGTTTCATTTCCAAGTATCTATAAGCCCTATGTTGACTAAACTTGCATGGATGATACATCTAAGGATGCATACTACCGGGCCTGCTTCGGATGCTGAATCTGACCTACATTTTCTGGTTGAGTGAACAGGTAAAAGTTTTTGGTGCGTGATTCATTTCCAAGTAACTATAAGCCCTATGTTGACCAAACTTGCATGGATGATACATCTAAGGATGCATACTACTGGGCTTGCTTCGGATGCTGAATCTGACCTACTTTTTGTGGATGAGTGAAAATGTTAGTTTTTGATGCATGTTTCATATCCAATTAACTATGAGCCTTATAATGAGCAAACTTGCATGAATGATACATCTTAGGATACACACTAATGGACTTGCTTCTGATGCTGAATTCAACATACATTTTTCAGATAATAGACCAGGTAAAAGTTATGAGTGCAGGTCTATTACCAAAAAAAACTATAATGTTTATATAACATTGTATAAACCAAACTTGCACAAATGTTGCATCAAGAGACGAAAACTCAAATTTGCTTCAGATGCTGGATTTTAATTACATTTTCATGAAGAAGAACTAGTTTAAATTTTTTATGTAGGTCTATTTCAAATTATCAGATCAAAATTGCTTAAATATTTTCATTTTTGGAATGTGCACTTTTTGTTGGTTGTGTGACTTTGGCTTACTTAAAGACAACATTCGTTGAGGTGAGCTCTGTAATCTCTGATTACCTATGTTTTAGGATGCAACTAAACAGCTCTCATATCATAATTTGACCATCATATTAATGGTTTGGTATTAATAATGGTCAAATGTCATTGCTGTGACATGAAACTCAATTTTTAGCTCTACTGGTCAGAGACCAGAAGAGCTTATGCGATAGTAATGCGTCCGGCATCCGTCCTTCTGTCTGTCTGTCTGTCCGTCTGTCTGTAAACAATTTTTAAAAACGCTACTCCTCCTATAATTTTAGTCTGATTTTAATATTACTTGGCACACAAGTAGACTACACTAAGATACATAGAATAGTGCATCGGTTTTTGATTTCAATGAACGGTGTTGCCATGGTTACTAAAAATAGAATTTTCTGTGAAATTCCTTTAAAACGCTACTCCTTCTACAATTTTGGTCTGATTTCAATATAACTTGGCACACAAGTAGACTACACTAAGATACATAGAATAGTGCATCGGTTTTTGATTTTGGTGAATGGTGTTGCCATGGTTACTAAAAATAGAATTCTCTGTGAAATTCCTTTAAAACACTACTCCTTCTACAGTTTTGGTCTGATTTCAATATTACTTGGCACACAAGTAGACTACACTAAGATACATAGAATAGTGCATCGGTTTTTAATTTAGATGAACGATGTTGCCATGGTTACTAAAAATAGAATTTTCTGTGAAATTCCTTTAGAATGCTACTCCTTCCTCAATTTTGGTCTGATTTCAATATAACTTGTCACAAAAGTAGACTATACTAAGATACATAGAATAGTGCATCGGTTTTTGATTTCAATGAACGGTGTTGCCATGGTTACTAAAAATAGAATTTTCTGTGAAATTCCTTTTAAAACGCTACTCCTTCTACAGTTTTAGTTTGATTTCAAAATAAGTTGGCACACAAGTAGACTACACCAAGATACATAAAATAGTGCATCGGGTTTTGGTTTCGATGAACGGTGTTACCATAGTTACTAAAAATAGAATTTTCTGTGAAATTCCTTTAAAACGCTACTCCTTCTACAGTTTTAGTTTGATTTCAAAATAAGTTGGCACACAAGTAGACTGCACCAAGATACATAAAATAGTGCAATGGTTTTTGATAAGTACAAACCAGTAGAGCTACAGTCTCAACAGAGACTTCTGGTTTTTTTAAACTCTTCACAAACAAAGTTTAAGGCTATATAGAAATCACCTTGAAATTCTTTGTTTTATTGTTCATTTGTGTCTGCATGGACCGTTAATTGTAATCTAAAAATGTGATCTGATGAAAAACAGTGCTTACTGTAAAATCACATATTTTCGAGGGGTCAATTTTTTTTAGATTTGAGGAAAATATATTGATTTTTGGGGATTTGATTTCATAGTTGGAAAATGTTTAGTATTAATGCTTATGTAATTTTACATTTTGTGGTGGTCATAAATTCATGGGTCTCTCCATACTTCGAAAACAACGAAAATTATACCCCCACAAAAATAAGTGATTTCACAGGATTACCTTAGGGTGTCCCGAGACCTTAACAAAAGGTTATTTAGAGAAGTTTAAGGTCATTGGCAGAAAAAGAGCATAATTTTTGTTTCGGCCATACTGTAAACCAACTTTTATTCGCGACGACTTTATTTCACGATTTAGCAGGGGTTAACTAGTTCGCGACGATTAATTTTCGCGATCAAGCCTTTTTGGATCTGTTATTCATAGACACATAACACCTTAAGGCAAGAAATATTCACGATGACAAGGCTCTCATGAACTTCGGGAAAATTTCTCGCATGCAATTAACAGTTGGATTACAGTACATGTATTTGTAATTTGAAAAGATTAGAAGGTCCTATAAACAAAAAGGTTGCTTATCAGCTACAAGTGTGCTGTGATCTGGGGCCTGTTTCACAAACGTTTCCTAAGATATGCCTAAGTTATAACTTAGGAAGTTCCTAAGATTTGTCACAGGTGTTTCACGAAACAATCTTATCTTAAAATTTTCCTATGTCATTTCTTAAATTGTGCCTTTATAAGGACTAATGAAATAACTTCGCACCTCTATCTACATCTCTCAGTATATAGGGGTATGTCAGTCTGGGTTATATTTTTAGCTTCAAAAAGGGAGGGGATTATCCCTACTTTCAAAGGACTAGGACAGATGTTTTAATTTTGCGAAGTTTGCTGCTAGAACTAAGCATTCACAGACACACCCTTTCAAGCCTTCTTCCCTTCTGAGCATACAACATTTGTATTTTTTAAAAATATTGTTCCATGTTTTATACGTTTACTTTATTTTGTTCTTTGTAAGGTATTGATCCCAGGTATTGTTTTTAGCTCACCTGTCCGGCGTCCGTCTGTCTGTCTGTAAACTTTTCACATTTTCGACTTCTTCTCAAGAACCGCTGGGCCAATTTCAACCAAACTTGCCACAAAGCATCCTTGGGTTAAGGGGATTCAAGTTTATTCAAATGAAGGGCCACGCCCTCATTCAAGGGGAGATAATTGGGAATTAATGAAAATTTGGGGGTATGTTTTAAAAATCTTCTTCTCAAGAACCACTGTGCCAGGAAAGATGAAACTGATGGGGAAACATCCTCAGGTAGTGTAGATTTAAATTTATTCAAATCATGACCCCCAGGGGTAGGGCGGGGCCACAATGGCCGACCAAAGTTTTACAAAGAAATATATAGGAAAATTCTTTAAAAATCTTCTTCTCAAGAATGACAAAGCCATAATTGATCATATTTATATGGATGCATCCTCAGGTAGTGTAGATTCAAGTCATGACCCCTGGGGGTAGGGCGGGGCCACAATGGCCGACCAAAGTTTTATAAAGAAATATATAGAAAAATTCTTTAAAAATCTTCTTCTCAAGAATAACAAAGCCATAATTGATCATATTTATATGGAAGCATCCTCAGGTAGTGTAGATTCAAGTTGTTCAAATCATGACCCCTGGGGTAGGGTGGGGCCAAAATGGCCGACCAAAGTTTTACATAGAAATATATAGGAAAATTCTTTAAAAATCTTCTTCTCAAGAATAGCAAAGCCATAATTGATCATATTTATATGGAGGCATCCTCAGGTAGTGTAGATTCAAGTTTGTTCAAATCATGACCCCTGGGGGTAAGGCGGGGCCAAAATGGCCGACCAAATTTTTACATAGAAATATATAGGAAAATTCTTTAAAAATCTTCTTCTCAAGAATGACAAAGCCATAATTCATCATTTATATGGAAGCATCCTCAGGTAGTGCAGATTCAAATTTGTTCAAATCATGACCCCCGGGGGTAGGACGGGGCCAAAATGGCCGACCAAAATTTTAGATAGAAATAAATAGGAAAATTCTTTAAAAATCTTCTTCTCAAGAATGACAAAGCCATAATTCATCATATTTATATGGAAGCATCCTCAGGTAGTGTAGATTCAAGTTTGTTCAATTCATCATCCCCGTGATAGGGCGGGGCCAAAATGGCCTACCATAGTTTTACATAGAAATATATAAATAATAATAAATATTGTGAACTGACATTTTTATATACCTTGTACTAATTTTGACACATGTTTGCCAATTATTGAAATCCTAGTATTTACGTGCAAAGTAAAGCAGTTTTAACCTGGAGAGAACACAACCATCCATATACCTGGTACTAGTAGTTCATTGGATTTTCTCTCCCCAAACACATTCTCTCTCTCCATAAGAAATCTGGAATTGCAGCCGCAATATTTAGTTTCTTCCTAAGTCATTGATTTACCTTTCCTAAAGTTATGACATAACTTACGAATATCCTAAGATAAGACGAGGTTAGTGAAACAGATAAGTAATGTACTTAGGAAAAAGTTCTTTCCTAAGATATAACTGAGGCCTAACTAGGCTTTGTGAAACGGGCCCCTGAACTTTAAATCTTAAGGGTGAGTTCATTAGTTTATGGTCCATAACTTTGTGAATAATTGGACACAATGGTTATTTATGAAATTAATACATTTACTCTATTTAGTGATAAAATACTCATGTATCATATGTATGATTTTGTAGAACAAGTCCAAATGTTAAAAGACAACGTAGACAAATGGCGGGAATCTTAGCCTGTGAACCTACATTCCAAGAAAGATAACTCTACATGTTGCAGAGAAACATCAGTCAATATGCATTGTTTTTATCAGCTTTATTTGAGTTTATGTAAAAACACTCCTCTGTGTAAACTGCAGTAAAGTTTTAAAGATAATAATTTTTGTTAATTGTTAAACATTTTCAAGATTTCTGAAAAAAAGAAGAAGAACCATAGTAAGTTTTTCGTTCCCAGTTTCTGTCATTCCATTGGGTTTGGTAAACTAAAGATGTATGATTGAAATGTTCAGAAATTCTATTTTTGTGGTTGATGGACTGTCAATGTCTACAAAACTGGAAGATCATAATTACATGTGTATCATGGATACAGTCTATTCTGGTCCATGAACATTGTCAAAGATAATGTACTGGAATACTTTTTATTTCAATGGATTCAGCTTTTCAAATACATGTATGTATGTAGTGATTGGGTTTCATTTAGTAAAACTAAATGATAAGTTTAAACTCATTTAGATGTTAAACTTTACATACTGTAATAAACATGGTGCAATATTGTTGAAATGTTAATACTGTAGTTACCGGTATTTTAAATTATTTACAAAGTTGTTATTCATAGCATTTATTGTTTACTTTTATTTCAGAATTCTAGAATATGTACAATTTTTCATTTCTTTTTTTTTTTTAAACATATTTTTTGAAGACATTCCTTTATTTTCATGAAATCCACACTGAGTGTTCCAAAGAGGTGTAATATATATGTTTTCTTTTTCCTTGTTGATTTTTAGAGATGTATATCATTCTGTAAAGAACATGATAGGGTAAGACCCATTTTTGGCCCCTGGTTTGAGATGTTCTTTAGAATGATGCAACAATTTATAAATTGAAAACCACTTATCACCCCTGCCACAAAATGAGAATTGGTTCTTAGTTATGGGATACACAGATGTCACAGGAAGGTCATAAAATATGTCAATTTTTGCACTTTTTGGCAAATTTTCATCAATTTTACAGCATATTTTCTTTCACAAAACATAGAGCACAAGCTTGTCTATCTACCAGATTTATATATTTCATACATAAGTATCAGATGCATCTTTTGTGTAAAAATCTCAGATAGGCAAGCTTGTGCTCTATGTTTTCTGAAGTGAAAATTATCTCAAATATGACAAAATTCCACCAAAATTGAGAAAATCAGGAAAACGTCCTATTTCTGCACCCTTTTGTGGCCTACATGTAAGCATTGAACCAAAGTTAGTCTGATCTTAAAACAAGCATCAATTTAAGTTCTTAACTACAAACTATCACAGTTTTAACTGTGTACTGATTTTTACACCAAATAAGGGGCCAGATTCAGTGGTTACCCTATCTTGCCCTTTCTGTTTTTTATTTATTGTTGCTATCTAAATTTTTTCAAGAGACTAAATTTCTAGATGTAAAAATTTCTGTCTGTATCTTTTGAGACAGAATTTTGTGGATGTTTGACACTAGTTATGGTTGTGTATCAGTTGTTTGCACATGTTACAGTGGGTAGTTGTATGGTTGTACATGTATATACAGGTATAATTAGATCTGTAACACTGTAGTCTTTCAGTACTCATGTCAAAAAAGTGATATTTGTTATTTGAATTGTTCAGCTCCTGTGAGTCATTCCATTTTATATTTTGTTTTTGTGTTGTCTGAAGAAATATTATTAGTCATGTAGGTGTTGCTTCTATTGCAAAATGACATGTGGGTTGATTTTATCTTTGTCTCTCAGATTTTCTCTCTCAACCATTTTAAATTGCATATTAAATCTATCATTACTTGCTGAACAGAAAAATAATCAAATATTGTTTTACATTATTGAATACCTTTTATAATTAGACATTTATAACAGTATATGTGACAGAACTTATAATGTTAGACTAGTCTCTATGTTGAAGCTAGATAAAGCTATAATTAGCATTGTAGAGGCCTGTTTTCTGCCTCGCCTGAGTAAAATCTGTGATAGTCCTAAATGTTGTTATCTTGTTTCTGTAGGAACCAATAGGATCAATACTCTGTGTTCAGTCAGACAAAAATGCAATAAATCTTATAAAAGAAAATGGGGTTGTTCTGTCTTTGTTGCATAATGAATGTTTATTGTACTGAAGTCTTAAGCAGAAGTTTGTGTTCTATACTACATTGTACAACAAAATAACATACCCAGTTCCATGGGCCACAATGCTCACCTGAGTATCCAGCTCTGCTATACATCAAAGATTTAAAAGATTTTCATATTTCCGTGAAAATCCCATATTATGAAGTCCAAACTTTAACATTTTACAGATGAATAGAGAGCAAGGTGATTGACAGGGTCCAGGTGAAAAGAAGTCCAAAGGGACTAGAATCACTTTATATTAAATGTCAACTGATCACTTTTATTTTAATTAAATGCCTTAGTATCCTTCAGATAAAGTATTGTAATTCCAAAGGTAGGTCATTTTGACCTTTTTAGTTGGCACACTCTAATTTTAAGTGTAATTGATTCTAAGCCAACAATAATTGAATTGTTTAAATAAAGCCATGAAATTCCAAAAGTAGGTCACTGTGACCTACATTTTGGTTTAAATACTCCCACGATCCAAGATGCATCAATGATTCTAAGCCTCTTTTTATCTTACATATATGTACATGTATATAGCAATAAAATTCCAAAATAAGGTCATTATGGTTTGGTTGCCATTCTCTAAAACTGAAAGATGCATCAACTGAATATTTAGAAATTGTCTTAATATTCCAGAAGTAGGTCACTGTCACCAAAGATGTATCAACTAACATCTAAACGTGATGATTCTAAGCCAATTAGCATTTCAAATATTTATAAATTTTTGGATACTACATGTAGTTTTTGTTATGTATATGTGTATGCTTTACATCATTCCATTCTTCAGGTACAAGAAAACTATTTTTGGAATCTGAACTGTCCATATTTGACTACAAATATTGTTCCCTGCTGGGAACATTCATGGGGGGGGTATTTGAAATAGTGCCCAATATACAGAATTATATCTTCACAAAGGATCACTCTTGGTTATAGGACCCCCAACAGACTTCATATTTTTTGTATGCGTGTGTTTAGAGTATTTGCTTTTCTCCAATCACATTGGGGCTTATGTGTATAGAGTAGGAAAGAGGAAAGTAAGACACTGAAACCTGTTTCAGGCTTTGTCATTAAAACAGGGTTTGTTCTTCTCCTGCAGTATGTTGCTTTAGCTATTTAGCCTGTAAAAAAAGTTGGTTGGGTCCCACCAGCACCATGACTCAACATTTTGAAGTTGGTACAGAATTTGACTCAGTCGCATCAAGATTCTTACTTTTGAAGTAGTATGAAAAAGATTTCATTCTCTTCTAAGAACTAGCAAAACAAAGTAAGAAAGTTATCTAATTTATTCACATTTATAAGCTTACCAAAATTCTGAGATAAATAGTTCACACAATTTAATGCAGTAATAAACTGACAATAGATCCTACCATAAAAAAAATTCTCAACAGTTTTAATGCACCAATCATACTCGAACAAAATTCAACACAATTATTCATTTTTCTTTGCCATTCATGTTTTCAGGGAAACAGACATGAAAGAGGAATGACTGCTGCCTGATCAACACTTCTATTCCTCTATAAATCACAGATACTAATGGTTCTATGGCCTTGCTCATTATTATTATGTTGAATGCCTCTTCTGCATTCATTGTGAAATAAATAGAAATTTGCTGTAATATAAATACAGAAACTTAACATGCTTAAAATATCCTGTAATTCAAATACAGAAACTACTCAGTTTAGTTAAATATGCTTCCACTGAATACCTTGATATGTAAAGGAGAATAACTCTGAGAGCAAGTTTTCTCCATTTTAGTTTTACATTCAGTGAAGGATAGACTAAAAGTTATTTTAACACTAACATCAATAGACAGGTACATGTATATTTCAGATAAAATGCAATGATGTTTGAAATCATATGTTTAAGACTGTATTTAATACTTGATTTCATGACTAAATTTTAAATCTTGTAGACTGTTTCAGACTTGAAGACTTGCGTTTTCTCACTATGACTGGATGATTATGAGAAGAAACGGGAGAACCAGCCATATTTCTTTGATCTAATGTCTTCCTGTTTGTATTGTTTTTGTGATTCTAGGAACTCATCTCGATCCATGCCTTCATTCAGTGCCACTTCATTCGCTCTCACAATGACAGAGAAAGGCTGACGTGGGAGATTTTTAATGGCTGCCTCCAGTGGTAAAACTGACAGTTTATTTTTGTGTTCTCTTAGAATTCCGAGGTTTTTCATGAGGTGCACAGCTTCTGAGCAGTCAAATTCAACTCTGACCCCAGTCACCCTGGCAACCCAGTCTTCTGCCCATTTGTTTATTACTTTTTCTGTTGCCCCACCTGCAAAATAAAATTTCATCTCAAATTTTCAAACTTCAAGAATTTCACATTTCTATAAATTTTCTGCAAAAACGCTATGACAGCTTTTGCATTGATAAATATACACAAAATCATTTCTAAATAAATTTTTTATCTATTATTCATTATTTTTTTTCAAAATGAAATAGTGACAAAGACTTAGCTCTCTGTAGAATATCTGGTTCTTGTGCCTTACCTAGTTCAGCAATCACCATCTGATAATATCCTGTGTCCTCCTGCCTGGCCCCTGGGGGTCTATGGGACAGAATACACATATACACGATAAGGGCCTCCTTAAACGTCTCATCCTGGGCACGGTCCACCATTAAAGCTAGAAATCCTCGATTGTTGGCCACAGTCTTAAAATACGAAATCCTATGCAAATCTTCTAAGTACCTCATACTTTTGTTGGTGTAATTAGATAAGGCTACAGTCCCTAACAGAAGTGAAGCTAGCACAGTAGGAATTACTAGGTTCATAAAATATAGTTTGTTGTAAGCTGAAAATAACATGGCCTCCCCTACAACTGTACTGAGTCCGACAGCGGTGGAACTAGCCAGTAGAAGTTTGTCTGTGTGTGTCATGCTTGTCCGTCCCGTCGGTAGCAGCATCTCTAGTGATTTAGCTGGGATCTCCTTGAAGCATTTGAGCATGATTTTTGGGTCCCCTTTCAGCCGGCAAATAACTACCACTCTTTTGAGGTACTCAGGTTTCGGTATCTTTGTATCCTTTTTCTTGGAGAACAAAGACTTGTACCAAGGAATGCTGGAAGGTTTTATTTCTTTCCCAAGGATCCACATGCTTAAGATATTGTACTCATTTCTGTCTACTTTTACCTGCAAAATTCACCAAATCATAAAATTTGTTTCTTAATTTGAAAAGAGTAGACCACTATATTTCTCATTTCCTTTGGAAACATACTGTATTACATGTATGTTACATGTAGTAAGACTAAGACTATGATAATTTTTATAATTATAAATAACTTCTAAATGTAAGATTAAGATGTATACAAACCCTTATGCCTTGTGTTGTGTGAGGTTTAAGGGCTTTATTGACTGTGTCCTCTGAGAGTCTGTAAAAGTTGGCCTTTTCCATTACATCTTCAAGCTTCTGGAGGAGCCAGAATTCATTGTCTAGCCTCTCTGTTCGTGTGAACCTTTGTGATGGTAATGTGTCTTTATCTGGATTAACTGGGTCAAATAAGGTCTGAAAACATTAGGATATACAAAACAATCATGTGTTGTAATTAGATGTATTGATAAATAACAATAGAATGTGTATGTATCCAAGGAAGAAAATCTTTTGAACAAGCAGAACTTGAACCGAGGTTAACCTAATGAATTCTGTGGGATGCAGTGTCTATTAAAAAAACTAGCAAATAAGTAAAATAAAATGTGTTATTTGTATTTATAACATAAAATGGTTTTATCTGTTAAGTTCATAAAAGTGTGTTTGAACCAATATGATATGAAAATCACCAGAGCACTGGAAGCATGAATATATACTAAGCATATTGGCTGTAACTGTGTATTACTGTATAGTCAATAACAAATATTTGGAAACAACAGATGTTTGTAAAACATTTATGCCGCCCCTCCCCCAAATAATTGGAATTTTTCGAAGTCCAAGGGGCATAACTCTGTCAAAAATGGCTCGATCATACCCACAACAGAACTTGACATAGATATTCGTCAGATAAATCTGTACACCAAATTTCATTTCAGTATGTGCAACAGTTGTAAAGAAAATGAATGGAAAGTCAAACTGCAATTAATTGGAATTATTCTACATCAAAAATGGCTTCATCATACCCAAAAGAGAAGATGACCTAGATATTCATCTGATAAATCTGTACACCAAATTTCATTTCAATATATGCAACAGTTGTAAAGAAAATGAACGGAAACTAAGAGGACCGACAGACAGCAGCAAAAAAATATGCCCTCCCCTCTTTGAAGTGGGGCATAACAAATATGCCACAAAGAAGTGAATATAGCATGATGTAACCATATTTTTAATCATATGGGCTTTAATATGATTAAATTTGCTACCTTGAGTTCATTTAGGACCCCATGATACTCCTGTACAATAGCTGAGTCTAGAGCTATGGCAAACTCATCAAACTTTCTCTGTTCCTGGACTGTCAGACAATTCTTCTCCTCAATGACTCTCCTTATTAACGTTCTCCTGGTGATGGGAATATACTTCTCTCTGTAAATATATGATTACCATTACATAAAATTCATGTGAACTCTGGCATCCATATGATTACACAGTATTTAGATTTTGAAGTAAGGGGGGTGGGTTGTAAAGTACACATTATTCATATTCACTGTAAGTTCTTTGAATAACAAAAGTACTTTTTACAACCAAATACCAAGTTTTATAATCCTACATATACTCGTATTTTCTTTAACACCAGTACTGTACATGATTACACAACATAACACAAAATGAATTGCAAAAAAGGTCAGAAATAATCATGATCATTAAAAGTTCATTGAGTAGTATAATCATTAATCAGTATTTCACTTCATTTGGGATGATGCTTAATAATTAGTAAACTAACTAAAACTGCAAATTATGTAAATTGTAATGAGTATAATGGGCACTATATTCTCTTTCGAGAGGTCAGAACAGGATTTCATGTTGTTATTCTGGAAAACGTATAATTGTACAACCGGAGACAGCCTACACTTCAACTAACATTTCATCTAAAATATGTCTGATTATACATAACAGACAAAAGCCTGTCCACTTCTCTAAAGAAAATAAATGGGCACCTGTATAGGTCTATCTCATCTGGTTCTTCCTCCACCTTCGTGACAGCCCCTGCTTTCTCTGTTTTCCCTTCAGCTGATGCAGGTTTTTCTTTTGTCTGACTATTTGTTGTCATGGAAACATATTGGGGATTTGACAACACACTCGTAAAAGGAACATTGTCTGCAACCACCTGATTTTGAAGGCAGAAAAGAAGTTAAAAACTTATTTAATTTATATTCATAATGGCTATGAATGAAAGAAACAGCACAAAAATATGTGCTAAACACACTGCGTTGTCAATTCTTCAACAAATAAGCAACATTTATTATATGGAAATTTCAGACTAACTTGATTTTAGTTAAAAGCTGCCGGGTAGACTTCTACTTTCAACTACTTTCATGAATAAAAACTTGAAAAGTTCCACAGACAACTACAACTACACCCTATGACAATAAACTATTCTCCCTATCTGTATTGAACCAGATAAGCATAATCAATAAAATATTTTTTGAATTCAAATTAATAAACATAATTAACTTCTACAATATTCTTGAAGGGCAAAGATTGACTTCAACTTTCATATTGACATTTATTTGCAAATGTTGAGTATTTCCCAACCACCCCAAAGCAAGGTAGAACAATTGATAGATGATACCTTTACAGTTGTTACCTGTTTGAAAACATGCTGTTGTTTTGCATGCGTCAAACATCTGAAATATTTCAATTTTAGTAAGTGGGCTGCCATCACTGGTTTCTGCAAGCCTACATCGAAAAAGACGTTGAAAAGTACACGTAAATAAACATTGCTTTCAAACACACGATTAACCCAGAGTATATGACCTTGACATAATTTTCCCGCGAAATTTAACTTCCTGTAAAACGTAAACAAATAATACATGGATCCATCAGAAGTAGAGTTTCTGGCAGAGAAAGAATTTGTAACTGTTGTTCCAAATTTTGCCTTGGACAAGATTTATTTGATTGGGGTAAGAAATCTTTGGTATTCCTTTATGACAGTTTAGAGTTAGATCTAGATATGGCAAGAAATTGGTACTCTGTATGTAGGTGATACTTTGTATTTAACCAAAAACTGCATCTCTATTGTTTGGATAGCTGGAAGTGCGGTGAGGCATGACTAAGTGTGATTGCCTTGCATTGTGCTCAATCAATTACATCTTGTTGACCAAAACTGCTTTTCTTTGTTAAAGTAGCTGTTTACTCACAGATTAACTGTTAAACATAGCCCCAAAACTTTTAGACCTTTGATTGCAATTGCAGAAAAGGAGAAACATTTTTATAAGTGGGTTTTTGGTGAATTGTTTTCAGTCCACTTCAAAGTTGAAAACTAGTATTGACTCATTGTGCGACTTTTTGTCTACTTTTCGTAAAACAGAAATTTACTCTGAAATAGCTAAATAAAGCTATATTATATAGGTAAATAAAGCTATAAAGGTAGATTTAGCTATATAGCTAAATATAGTGATTTTCCTGGACCTATTAACATCTTCTTTCCCATGATGTGAAGTGAAAAATAAGATTCATTATGATGAACCTAGTGTAGCTGTAGTGTAAGTTCAAGAGTCTCTGACAGTACAATATAAAGGAGCAGAACGATTCTGGCAGAAACATTTCAACAGGACAATATATATCGACAGTATATATGTTTCTCATCTGTTGATGAAGGATTGATATGTGTCTGAAAACTAATGGATTCTGTGTAGAGATCTCTTGAGATTGGTGTGTTTTTTCTAAAAAATTCTGCAAGATATAGTAAGATTATATAACAGGTCCAGTATAATCTCGATTTAGATATTTGTAATATGGTTAAATTAACATGTAATAAGGACAAAATAAAAAATACCTTTGTTTCCCCTAACGCGACCGACCCGGACCCAATTAAAATGCGACGACTGAAAAGTTTTTTTGCTAAGATTATTCAAATATTTTTTTTTAATGTTTAGGCCAAAAAAAATAATAGTCTTGTTTCCTGCTACCAGCATGAAAAAAATAGGGTAGGTAGGTAGGAAAATAATTTTATTTTTCTTTTTTATTTTATTTTTTATGACGGTGTTTCTTTGGATATGAACTAATACAAGATCAAATTAAACATGCCATATAGGTCAATATTGCCTTTTAAAATTAAAATTTTATGTCCTTTGAAGCACAACTGAAGTGGTATTTTATGAAAGTCCATATTTAAAACAAAGAATTTTATGAAATACCAACTGAGTATATATTTTTTCAGTTTTGGAACATGAAATTCCAAAAATTCTTGATTTTTTTCCCCAAAACTTAAAAAAAAACTTTAGGGTCGGGTGCAAAAAAATAGGGTAGGTCGGGTAACAGGGAACAAGACTATTTTTATTTTTGGCCTTATCAACTTTTACAAAATACAATTTCATCAAAATCCGTTTTTATCAGAACGACCGATTTTGTTCTGCTGTGATTTTCAAGCATTTGTTGGAAACAAAACGGCACCCACAACATGCGATCACAAAGTAATTTGTGTTATAAAACAACAGCAATGTGTCAACCTTATACCTTTAGCTTATTAGAATCCTACACTCTTGAACCATTTCGTTAATAAAATATATTGTAAAAGTTCAGTGTTTTGGTGATTTTTATAAACTTGTCTTTTAAAATGAAGAAACGGAGTAAGCATGGTAAGGCCTGCCTCATTAGAAAAGCTAGGGGCTGCAAATGTATACCTAGTATACTCAGCACTCAGGGCCATTGAGCAGTGAGGGATCTTTTTCGTGCCAACACCCTCTGCGACATGGGACCTCAGTTTACCATCTCCACATCCCGCAATGGATTCGAATATGGGGCCTCGGTTTATAAGGTCTCATACGAAGGTCCCGCAGTGGATTTGAACCCTAGACGAAGGGATCAGCTCCTTACTTCTCGACTCTAGAGCAGACGCTCTAACTGCTGCGGCAGGCTGGCGAACAGACATCAAGTGTATTTTTCTTCAGTTTGGCTCTTAAGATTTGTTGCTTCTTTAAATTGCCTAAAACTTTTGAGAATTGTTGGGATGACAACATTTGATGATTTGCCAGGTGAAGGGCTTTAAACTTAGACTTACAAGTACTCTGCAATATTTACATGTACCACTGGGCAGTCAGGGATCTCTTGTGTTCCAGCATATACTTCGACACTGGACCTAAGTTTTTACGGTGTCAGTGCTATTTACTTTGTTGTCCGAAGATCCCCGAATGTTTGATAATTTACTCTATTTGATTTCAATAAATTTACACTGGCGTGAGCTACTTCACAAACTCAAATGAATAATAATTATGAATTTAATTATCTTACATGTTGCTTTTAAACGGCATTGGTACACTGTATGATAAGCTGTTTACAAATGTTTTTTTATGTACTTCTCTTGTTTATAAAGGTATTATTCTATAAATTTCAGTATGTGTTTTCAAAGTTGCTGTCAGAAAAAAATTATTTACCTACCTACCCAACTTGAGAATTTATGGTCGGGTTAGGGGAAACAAAGATATTTTTAATGATGGCCTAACTTGGCATACTTTTTGCAACAGGAAAGGAGAAAATATATATGGCTGGACCGGGAATCGAACCCAAGACCCCTGCATCTCCAGTCAGGTGCTCTACGAACAGAGCTGTTCAGGCCGATATCCACTGCCCAAATTCACATTCCTCCCTTGTTAAATGGTCTTATTTCACCCTTAAAGACACAACCCAAGTTCTTATTACCCCCGACAGGTCTTTCACCTGCAATATTCCAGGGGTGGTCAATGGCACCAAATCTGTAACAGGAAAGGAGAAAATGTACATGGCTGGACTGGGAATTGAAACCAGGACCCCTGCATCTCCAGTCAGGTGCTCTACCAACTAAGCTGTCCAGGCCAATATCCACAGCCCAAACCATTACACTTTAAAAAAATCGATATTCTACAGATAGGGAGCACTATCAACTACTAAAAATTCCTTGACTAGCAAATAAAAAGTAATCAGATGTTATTTTTGAGGGGACACGGGTGTATGGTAGCTCTATGTTTTCTATAGACTAGTGTTCTAGATTAGCAAAATTATGGGGAGGCATGGCCCTCTGTGCCCCTTAGTCACTTAGTCGTTTAAAGTCTTTTAAAGTGACACTTTAAAATTACTTGTAGGGAGACATTGGACCTCTTACACCTGGTTTACCTGTTCAGGTCCCACTATGGATGGCAGTGAATCTCAAACAAGGACAGAAATGTAGGATTGTTCCACCAGAATGGATGGACATTGGTAAGGCCATGCAAAGTTAATTCCTTGGTTCTCAGGCCTTTTTTCAAGAAATATGATGAGGGAGGGAGGCAATTTTTGTTCAGTTTTCTTGCCCCCAAAACATGATGATGCAGCTTTTTACATTGTACAAAACCTCAAAAAATGACGAGGGAGGTGATTTGTTGTTTTTATTTTATTGATTTATCAATAAAAAGGGTTAATGAGGCACCCTTGAAAGAATGAGGGAGGGCCTGAGAACCAAGAAATTAATTTTTTATGGCCTATTAAGTTAATGTTAACAAATTTTCTTTATATTAAAGCTGCAAATATTGAACATATATGGTGCAGTTGTATTTAAAAGTTTTTTTTATTTATTGCTTCAATTACCATTTCTAAGACTTGACATTTCTAAGAGTAACACCACTCTCCTGCTCTTTGTAGATCGATTACAGGACAAGAAGCAAGAAGAGACAGACTCTAAATTTTTTACAAAGATGCCAAGTGATCATTATATGGAAGTCACTCAGCTGTTGTTAAAATGGTAAGAATTAACAAGGCTCCAGAGTTAATGTACTTGATATAAATGTAGCTTGTAGGTATACAGCCCCATTTTTATATTGCTCTGGAGAATTTTTATATGTCAGTGCATTAATTTTGATGATCTATTTTTATGCCCCGCCATGAGTACTGGTGCCTGTCACGTCAGTCTTCCATCCTTCTGTCCTTCCGTCACACTTTGCATTTAGTTTAAATACAATAAATTTTTTTTATAAAACTTTATATGCTGATACTATTCAATGGGATTAACATTTTATACCTTGACATTTTGTTTGACCGTGACCTAACTTTTCTTAAATTAGTGTTTAGCTCAATCTCAAAGACACTTTTAAGGATATTTTTATCAAACCATACATACTTATTCATACTGTATAGAACTTTAAAACCATCACCTTTTCTTGACCTTGATATTTACTTTGACCTTGACATTTGAACTCCCTTTTCATGAATTTGTTTTTACCTAAATTAAAAAAAAACTATTCAAGATATTTCTATCAAACATTACTTGTTGATACACATTGATGAGAGCTATTCAACTGCATCAACATTTTTTTCTTGACCTTACCTAATTAAATTAATGATTCAAAGAAACTTATTTTTTTGCATGAAACCCCTTTATAGTTATAAATATTGAGGAAAGCTCTGCAATTGCATCAACATTTTTGACTTTGATTTTTCCTTTGACCTTGGCCTCACTTTTCTTAGAAAAGAATTGAGCTCAAAGAAACTATTTGAGAAATTTTTTAATCAAACCTTGTATGCTTATAAATAAATGAATTGATGAGAGTGATCTTTCCAATGACAGCAGCTTTTCCTTTACCTTTGCCTCCTATTTTAGCTCACTTCAACGAATTGCAGGGAGCATATATGATACCAACAGTGTCTGCGTCCCAGGTTCAAGTTTTTGGTGCCATTTTTGTTTTTAAGTACTTCTATGCCCCACATTAATCAGAGATGCATGAAAGATGCTTTAAGTGTGTTTTATTGTACCAGTCAAGGTTTCAGATGCTGCAATATCAGCTGAGG